ATAGAATAGATTCTGCATAAATCTCAAAAAGTCAAAATATCTCAAAAATCCAAAATCAATTTTGGGAACATGTATAAATGGGATACAATAATACTAAAACTAATAACAAAACTAAGCATAACTATAAGAATACTAATCTTAAAATAAAATAATCATGATATAAGAGTTTATACATAGAAGGAATTATATATGATCAATTATGAAAGGGACATATTTAACTATCAACAGTGGTATGAAAACTTATTAATAGGAATAAACAGTTTATCAATTATTAAAGAATACAATAAACAAGGACTCAAAGGATTTGTGATATTAACTTTATTACTTAATAAATCCTAACTAATTAACTGAACAAAAATGAACTGAACTAGAAAACTATCTTGAGAACTGAAAACTAAGTTGAAGGAAATCTCTGCCTTTTTATATATTATAGATTTAACTGCTAAGTTAACTTGTAATCTAACTGAAAACTTCACTATTATCTATGTTAATATTGTCACCACTGTGTAAAGTATTTTGAACAATTTCTTAAATCAGTCTCAAAGTTTACATCACACAAACATAATAATATGCTCTATCTGCCAGTAGGTCACAGCTAATACAATTGATTTAACTGACCTATCTCAAAACAGATAATAAATATATAATAAATAATAAAATAATCAAATAATATAAAGTAATAATCAAATTAATCATGAAGGCCCAGTGAGTAAGGTGAAGTAAAAGTAGTTAACACAATATCAAACAATATTTAATGATATTTTACAAATATTATGGCACAAGATATAAGTTTATTAAATATAAAATATAAAGTTTTTTTTAAAAGTAAAGTATAATTCAATGACAGAAATATTATCATGTGTTAGGATATCTATTTTACCGTCTCTGAAGTAAGTTTACTTTTCTATCTAATAATAATTAAAATATTTTGATATATTCTGTAATATTAAGTAATAATTAATTAACTAATAACCATTAATGAATTCTTATCACTCTCTTGCAAACTTACACCTGACAACAGTTGTATTTATACTTTCTCTTTTGTTTTCACTTCATCCTTCTCATCTTTGTACTTCATCCTTCATCCTGGTACAGTCATCCTTCATCCTCATATGGTTATCTTTGTACTTCATCCTTTGTCCTCGTATGGTTATCTCATATGGGATGACAATTACCTGAATGTTCATCTAGTGACACAAATTATCATCCCCATGACATTTCACCTGATTACCAATTTGGATCACCACAATATTTTAATAAACTTATCTTCTATGTCATGATATTGTGAAATATTGTTATATATTATTTGATACTGTGTTTGCATTTTTTCTCTACCTTACTTACTGAGCTTTCAGATTAAAAAGAAAAAATTAAAAAGAATTAAAGAGAATTATATTATATTTTTATCTGTTTTGTTTTGAGATAGGCAAGTTTAGATTAACGGATTGCTTGGCCTACTGGCAGATAGAGCATATTAAAAAATTAGTTTATGTGAGAAAATCTCTGAAATTGATAGGTCGAAGTGTTTGAAATGCTCTGCACATTTGTGACAGTATGATCAATTTGTTTCTTTGATGATCAACATTTACCATTTTTGTTTTTTGTAAAGTTTTTATTTTTATCTACTAAATATTATTTATTTTATAGCAAAAAAGAAATGTTGAACTTATAAAATTTGTATTCTTAGAATTAATGCAACTTCAAGATAGCAAATTTTCCAAAATTTCACCAATGAAAAATTTAATTAGATAGAAATAATAAATTTACCAATTCTTGAATTATAATAAATTATTTAATTTTTATTGAGTTATTGAACTTAATATACTTGACACCTTTGATTTGATTAATTATAATTTGTAATAAATTTTTCAGGGATACCAATATTTAAAAATTTTGTTATGTTCTAATAATCATGCTTAATTATATAATCCAAATTAAATTGACATTAAGACAAAATACATGAAGGAAAGTAAATTCTGCAGATACAAAAATAATGTCATTACAAAATAATTTTAAATTTTAAATTTGTTGAAACAAATTCTTAAACAAGAAATACAAAGGCAAAAAATCTAAATGCAGTGGTATTGTCACAATGTGCAAAATATTTTGAACACTTTCTAACAGACTAATCTTTAATATGCTATATCTGCCAGTAGGTCAAGCAATCTGTTGATCTAAACTTGGCTATCTCGAGACAGATAATAAAATATAATATAATTCTTTTTAATTCTTTATTTTTAATCTGAAGGCTCAATGAGCAAGGTGGAGTAAAAGTCTTAACACAGTATCAAATAATATTTAACAATATTTCATATTTCACAATATCACAACACTGAATATAAAAGGCACAAATTTAAAAGTAAAGTATCATTTAATAACAGAAATATTAGGGTTACATGTCTATTTTACCATCCCTAAAGGAAGTTTACTTTTCTATCTAGTAATATTAATGTTCAAAACTATCTGTAATTATTAATTAACTGAAGTCTAAGAAACTACAGAGACTACTGTTTTCTGTTTCCAACAACCACTTCCTTTATTTTACTTATCATCCTTTGTACTTCATCCTTCATCCTCATATGTTATCTTTTAGAAGTTATAATCCTGGTACAATCATCTTAGTGTTGAAGTGACACAAGTGTCACAGAGAGATTTTTGCACAAGAATTTTGAAATAATGCAGAAGTCACAGGAGATGACAGTAACATCTGAATGTGTGTGCTACTATCCAGGATGACAGATTATTCATCCTTGTATATTAACTTTTATCCTTGTGTGTCATCCTCAAAGAAAGGAGAAAAATGTGTTTAGACATGACAACAAATGATAGAAGAAAACAATCCAAAAATGTATAAAATAGCTAGTAATCTGGAGTGTAAAAGGAGATGGATTTTACTGTAATTTTTAGACTTTTATAGATTTTCTTTGGTAAATTTTGGAGACTTATGAACATTTGTAGAAACTAATAACAATAAAAGTAATAATAATAATAATCATATTTCACAAGTAGTTAGAATATCCTGTAATTTTTCTCTTGTTAATAATAAATTTTATCTTTGTGATAATGGTAATATTGGTGAGAAAATGGTTAACAGTCCATAATATCTCTATTACCAATTTTGTATTAAATTCTTATAAACTATTTTATTTAATGAATAAAGTTCTACATAAAGTTTGAAACTAAGATTTGAAAGTTTGTATAGTAAGCTGTAAGAGAATACTTTTACTCCACTTACACTAGTCAAATATAAAAGAATCACTGTGCCAAGTGGTAATTTCTATACTATAGATCAGCTAAAAATTGGCAACAATTGACTATCCTATTTCATCCTATATTATAAATCAGCAAAAATTTGGAATTCCTTTTCAGTATGGCATATCTTTTGTATTTGACATGTGTTACTCATGTACCTTCAAATTATACCTTTGTGCATGATTATAGAGTTATTTTAGTAGTTGTTTGCAACATTTAGGCAAGTGGCAGCTTGATCCTAACTGTGAAAAGGTATATTATTATGTGTGATGTACTGTATACAAGAGTGCAAAAGGGTGTAATACAAATTCATTTAGGGAGACTGATTGTCATAACTTTACTTCGTGTTCTGGGCATACTGTCACAATATATGTAATTTGTGTTTTTTTTAAAAAAAAATTTATTGAATTTATTAAATTCTATCTTTTTATTAATTTCATAATTTTATTAGATGAAAAAATTTTCCTAGCTGGAATGATAACCTAACTGACAATAGAAATAATTAAATTTTTTGATTTAAGATCACTCATTTATCCTTTGAAAATTCTTTATAAAAAGCTTTTACTTGTACTATAAATATTTTGAATTTTGTATTTCCAAATGACTGTTGTGTCATAATTATAATAATTATTCTTTTTTAAATTAAATATAATATATTTGAGATTTAATGAATTTTAAAAAAAAATTCATGTTCAAATTAACATATACAGTATGTATGTTTTTAAAAACATTTAATTTGCACATAATAAGTGAACGAAAAATAAATATCATCTCATTTTACTTCCCTCTACGGTACCATGTAACCCGAAACATTTAAAAAAATTTACTATTCAAATAAATGTAAATTATTATCATCATGAAATAGTAATAAATTTCTACCTTATATTTAATAGTTTTTAAACGAAAAAAAACAGGACATGATGTAGTAGTAATATTAAAGGTATTAGTAATTTTCAAATGAAGATTTATTACTATTGTTTAGATTTTTAATGAATGCTTCAATTTCATGAAGAGTTTTTCATCTTAAAAATATTTGGCACATTGAATAATTTCAAATATTTGAACTGACGTAAAATATCTTTTACATTTTTATATAAATATTCACAAATTCTTTGTTAAATAATAACGTGGAAATAACACATATCGAGAAAACAATCGAAAACTGTCCGGAACTAATTTTAAGTATTTCATTGTCAGTTAAATAAGGTTCACATACTTTTTATCAATTTAATTTCAAATAACTATAGTGATGGTGTATTAAATTATTTAATAAATAGATTTTATTATCTTTAAAATATGTAAACTATTTAAATGATGAGATTATGTTATCTGTTGTACAGTTTGGAATATGTTTTTAAATTTTTAATAATCTTAAATACTTCATAATCTACAATAGAAAATCATTCATTTGTTTTTCTAATACGTTTTTTATAAAAATTAGTGGAAAACAATGAAGAACTATAATCACACCAACATTGTTCATCCTGTGTAAAATCGGAAACACTTGATTTCATCATAAATTCACATTCATCAAAATATGGGCCATAAACATTCTGAAGGTCAGCTTTATAATATAATAGAGCTCCACTTTTATCGTTAACTCGGCTTATAATTGATTTTTTTTGAATATTACCATTTTTTAATGAAAAAATGAAACTATCATTTGTTTTCATTCGCATAGTACTTGTTGAATTATCCCAAACTAAAGGATTATAACCACCAACTATTTTATCAGTTCCTGCAACTTTTGCAACCACAATTGTGCCAGCATGTCCATGGCACATGTTCCAAAATGTCTTGGGATGAAAACCATCTCTACTTCCTCGAAGAATTAATTGAAATTCATAAGGAATATTTGCTAAAAAATAAATAGTTGATTTTCGATCAATCCATGATGAAAGTTCTGCTACATGTTCTTTGTTGATTATAGTTGAGAATGTTTCATATGCTTCATTAATTTTTAATGGCAATTCAGGGGTTGAAATGGTTCTTGGAGGTAAATTGGGAGTTGGTCTTGTTCTTGAAGGCAGATTGGGAGGTAAAGTCAAATTGGGAGCTGAAGTCAAATTGGGAGCTGAAGTCAAATTGGGAGCTGAAGTCAAATTGGGAGCTGAAGTCAAATTGGGAGTTGAAGGTGAATTGGGAGCTGAAGTCAAATTGGGAGCTGAAGTCAAATTGGGAGCTGAAGTCAAATTGGATGTTGAAGGTAAATTGGGTGTTGAAGGTAAATTGGGATTTGAAATGTTTCTTGCTGGCAAAACAAGTGATTTAATGGGTTTATTTTGAGAAATAGAATGTTGAATTATGTCATCCCAAAGCTGTTCTTCAAGAATATTTTTGTAAGGTTTTATTTTCTCCCAAACATTTTCACCCGGAATATGGAAATATCGAATAAGTGGTAAACATCGTTGTAATGTCATTTTCAAAAAATTAAAATTTTCGTTAGACCATTTTTCCGAATTAGTAGGTAAAGTAGGATTTTGTGCAATTCCCCATTTGATAACATAATCCCAAATTTTAATTTCTTCAACTTGCAAGTCATCTCTTTTCAAAATAGAAATTAATGCTGTTTCTTGGAGTGAAGTGAAATCTTCTGATTCAAAAATCAAATTTGGATATTTTGCAATAATGTCATTATAAAATTTTTTCAAACCGCTAAATTCATTTCTATCAAAGATAGAATGATAAATAAAGGCGAAATGAGTTCTTAACCAAGAAGCTTTAGATTCAATAAGATAATTCTCTAATTTTACTGAAAGTTCTTTAAATTCCAATTCATTGGCAATGACCATTAATTCATAAATGATTTCGTTATCTATTTTTTCGATATCGACAATTCCGCCATAGATATATCTATCAAATGTATTTTATTCTATTAATGTTGAGTAACATAAATTTAACTTAAAATTTAAAGTAAAAACCAATTTCTTGACTTACTTAAGAATAATTTCGAATATTTGAGCAGAAATATTTGGTTTAATAATAGTTTTAATATTATTTTCGTTCGTAGTAGCGTCCTCTAATTCTTTATCAAAGTAGGGTGAACGAAAACGTAAGACAACTGAATGTGCAATAAAAGATTTCTTATTTCCTTCTTTGTCAACTTCTATGACAACATTATATTCTTTATTGTCACCAAGAAGGTTTGAAAAATCTTGAGATAATTTATCAAAAAATTTAAAAGACATTTTTTATTATTTTAAAACTTTAAACTGAATTGACTGCATAAATAGACACCCAACCCTCCGTTATACAATTTCTCCTACAAATTGTTGAACAAATCTGCCAATTAATTGCATCGCTCTTATAGGATTTATTAATTTGTGATTTTGTCAAACATAACGACACTTCGTATTCTTGTTCAATTAATTGAGAATTTTTTATTATATAAGAAATAATATATTCTAACAATAACAAGTGTTGTCCGACATCTATATCATTTTCCTTTTTTGAGACACAAGTCCACATGGCTATACAAATTGTGTTACAATTGTACAGTATTGTAATTATTAATTGCTAAACGAAAAATATGAATGGAGTCTATAACCAAAAAAAAAAATGGATAAAAATAGTATTTTTGGATTCCTTACACTAAAAAAGAATCAATCTAATATACTTTTTATTTTTTCCCAATTTTGAAGCAGCATACATGTGACTTTTAGCCAATAAAATTATTTTTTTTATTAATTAAATTTTTTAAATTTGCACTCTCCTTGTTAAAAAATATAATAAAAAATAAGATTTTTAATATTCATATATGTTTCTCGATTTTATTTTATATGAAATATGTCTGACTTTAAATGCTTTAAATCGCCTTTTAAAAGACTTTTGATTGGTGGGTTTCAGATTCCGTGATACCATTTTTATTAGTCCTATCGGTTATTTAAATTTTGTAAACAATTAGTTCTTTTGGATAATAATTGTGGTTAACCTCTTTTCGAGTAGTAAAAGGTAACAGGTGATCTCTTGCGACCGAACAAAGCCTCGAGAGAAGCTTTGGCAATCCTTGGCATAGTAAAGTTTTTCCCGATCAAAGGATTTACGAAGGATAGAAATTGATGTAACGTTGTGTTACTTGGAAAAATATAACAGGTGATCTCCTGTGACTGAGTAAAGCTTTGACATAGTAAAAATTTCCCAGTAACATTGTGAAAATTGGAAAATTTAATTCCCTCTCGGCTTAGTGGGAAGGATAAAGAGTTCACTTGCTTACTCAAAAAGTGATAACTGTTGTTAAAATTTTTCACGGTTGCGCCATTTGACTTTTTAATAAAGTTGTATGATTAAAAAAATAATGGCAGGTTTCTTATTTTAACATTTGTGAGAAAAAAAAAATTCTTAAGCGATTAATTAAAACTGTATTTGTTTTTGCTAATCTGGCTTACAAACGGATTGATAGATTGTTTTTTCTTTAATTACAAATACTCACGACACTTCTATTTTACATCCAGAATTTGAGACGTAATTTCAAATATGGTGGTCAAAGTAAACTGCCTTTGAACGACTAATTAAAACTGTTCGGAAGGTATGAAAGTACTTGAATATTTGTTTTCGTTAAGCTGTCTTACAAACGGATTGAAATATGAAATTTTCTTTAATTACAAATACTCACGAATTTTTTTCAGTAGAATTAGTTTAATAAATATGGTAAAATAATATGATATATAACAAATAAATAAGTTTCAATATTTTATAATTGTTTTGAATTAGAAACCTGTTTTTTATTTTTATTTTTAATTTGTATATACAAATTCTGTTTATTTATGTTGTAGAAAATGATTCATAAGTAAAAATAATAAAAATAAAATGCATTATTAATTATTATTTTAATATCCTCCCATATTTATTAAACTCATTGCGGTTACGCAAAATCAAATGGCAACAAATCAAAACGTAAAGACAAACGGATTGATTCATGTGTAAATAAGATAAAAACAATAATAAAAATAGTAGAAGAAGAAAAAGAAGAAAAAATAAGTAACAAAAAAAATCCCCGTGACGGAGGCACGGGCCTACGCTAGTTATCGGTTAAAATTTCTATCCTTTTAAATTCTTTTATAAATAATAATATATTCGTGAATTTCGAATGTAATTTAAAAAATCATACTTCAACTCTGTAGACTATATACGGTGCAATATGCAACCCGAGACATTTCAAAAAAAATATATATATATTATTCAATGTAAATCATCATGAAATAATTAAAATCCATCAAATACAGTATATTAGGCCATTTATTAAGATATCAAAAATATTAAAAAATTTTATGTTGAATATTTATTATATTATTATTTAGATAACGATTCACTGAATTCTCCAATTTTATGAAGAATTTCCTTAGAAATATTTTTGGCACACTGAATACTTTCAACTGACATAAAATATATTTTTACTTTTTTTTTTTACACAGAAAATAATCGCGGAACTTGTTTTAGCGTATTACAATAATAAAGAATCATATACATTTTATCATTTCAATTTCTAATAAATTTAGTGATGTTATTAAATAAACAAATTCAATTTTAAAATAATAGTTGTACAGTTTGGAATATTTTTTTTTTTTTTAATTTTTAATAATCTTAAATACTTCATAATCTACAATTGAAAATCTTTCATCTGTTTTTCTAATACGTTTTTTATAAGCATTAAATGAAGAATAAAAAAAGCATAAACATCGTTCATCTTGAGTAAAATCGGAAACATTTGATTCCATTTTAAATTCAGAATAACCAAAACTCGGACCACAAATATTCTGATCCTGATCACTAGGATAGAATAGAGCTTCACTACTATTTATAACTCGGCTGAGAATTGAATTTTGAATAGTATCATTTTTTAATGAAAAAATGAAACTATCACTTGTTTCGCCTTCTTTTGAATTATCCCAAGCTAAAGGATTATAACCACCAACTATTTCGTCAGTTCCTGCAACTTTTGCAACCACAATTGTGCCAGCATGTTCATGGCACATGTTCCAAAATGTTTTAGGGTGAAAACCATCTCTACTTCCTCGAAGGATTAATTGAAATTCATAAGGAATATTTGATGAAGAATAAATAGTTGATTTTCGATCAATCCATGACGAAAGTTCTGCAACATGTTCTTTGTTGATTATAGTCGAAAATGGCAATTTAGGGGTTGAAATGGTTCTTGAAGAAAAATTAGGAGTTGAAGTCAAATTTGGAGTTGAAATGATTCTTGAAGGTTCATTGGAAGTTGAAATGATTCTTGCTGGCAAAACGAGTGATTTAACAGGTTTATTTGGGTACATATAAAGTTGGATCATGTCATCCCAAAGTTGTTTTTCAAGAATTTTTTTGTAGGGTTCTATTTTTTCCCAAACATATTCGCCAGGAATATGAAAATACCGAATATGTGGTAAACAGTTTTGTAATGTTATTTTCAAAGCCTTGAAATTTTCATTAGACCATTCTTCTTGATTAGCGGGTAAAGTAGGATTTTGCGCAATTCCCCATTTTATAACGTAATCCCAAATTTTAATTTCTTCGATTTTCAAGTCATCTCTTTTTAAAATAGAAATCAAGGCAGTTTCTTGGAGTGAAGTGAAATCTCCTGATTCAAAAATCAAATTTGGATCTTTCGCAATAATATCATTATAAAATTTTTTCAAACCTTTAAATTCATTACTATCAAAGATATCAAAGAGTGAATGATAAACAAAATTATTTCTTAACCAAGAAGGTTGAGATTCGATAAGGTAACTTTCTAATTTTGTTGATAGTTCTTTAAGTCCTAATTCATTGGCATTGACCATTAATTCATAAACGGTTTTAGTATCTGTATTTTCTATATCGACAATTCCGCCGTAGATGTATCTATAAGATGTATTTTATTTTATTAATATCGAATTACAATATTCAATATATTTAGTTTTAATATTTAAAGTGTTAATTAATTTTTTGACTTACTTAAGAATAGTTTCAAATATTTGAGCACAAATATTTGGTTTAATAATAGTTTTAATATGATTTTTATTCGTAGTAGAGTTCTCTAATTCTTTATCAAAGTAGGGTGAACGATAACGTAAAACAACTGAATGTGCAGTAAAAGATTTCTTATTTCCTTTTCTATCAACTTCTATAACAACATTATATTCTTTTTTGTCATTAAGAAGTTCTGAAAAATTTTGAGATAAATTATCAAAAAATTTTAAAGACATTTTTTTTATTATTTCGAAAATTAAAATTGAACCGACGGCATTACTAGATCATTTATATACAATTTCTCGTCTATTCATTGAACAAATCTGCTAATTTCAAAAAAAATAATCAATTCATTGCATCATGACTTTGTAACTTAATTTAACTGTGCCTTCACGTTCTTATAGGGTTCTATTTAACGGTGCTCTCGCATTATAGGCTATATTTAACAATGCCTTCTCGTTCTTATAGGGTTATATTTAACTGTGCCTTCTCGTTATTAGTTATATTTAACTGCGCCTTCTCGTTATTGGGTTATATTTATCTGTGCCTTCTCGTTCTTATACGGTTATATTTTTAACTTGAAACATACATGACACTTTGTATGTATTCCTATGCAATTAATTAAGAATTTTTTTTTATTAGAAATGCGTATATAATAAACTAATGTTGTTTGACAAAGGCACATGGCCTCACAATTTGTGTTACAATCATGCAATATTAAATATGCAATTATTAATTGTCATGATTTTTCCTACAAATTCAAAAAAGGTAATATTAACAATAATTACTATTAGCAATTATTGTTTTTGCATGATAAGAGAAAAATATGACAATAGCTTTTTAGTTTACACGTGAACAAAAAATAAATGTCTTCTGACTGTATAACGGTGCGGTGCGGTGAAAAGTATGCACGCAACCCAAGATTTTTAAAACAACATGATTTGGTAGTAGTATTAAAAAGTCAATAATAATTTTTGTAAATGTAAATGAAGATTTATTGTCGTTATTATAGATAACGATTCATTTCTAAATAAATTATGAGTTCACCAATATTTAAAAAGGATTTTCATCTTAGAAATATTTTTTGCACATTGAATAATTGAACTGATATAAATAATATTGAAAAAAAATTTAAATAGTAATTAATAAAGGTTCACATTTTCTTATCCGCAGTGGCATTTTAATTTCAAGTAAATATAATACGGAAAAAATTATGAACGAAATAATTTGATTTTGTACTTTCTTTTTTTAAATTAAAGAAAAATAATAAAATGTGTCGTTTATTTTTTTTTTACAAATAAAATATTACTTTGATCTTGGAATTTTTGTGCAGAGCCCGTAACCATAGTGTCAAGTCGCTACATCAAGTCCAAAGGTTATGA